ACACCAAACGGAGCTGTTTTTATGACTTTCTCTACTTTAACACTCCTATTATTTTTAGGGTCAATTTGACCTCGTTCAGTGTTTTGTAAATAAGTGATTGATGTAATTTTTTCAGTTTTATTTAAAGGGTCATTTACATATAAACTTGGGTAACAATTTTATTTATGATAATTTTCTGGGGGGCTGCAAGGTGGCTCGGTGGATAGCATCGTTGCCTCGCAGCTAGAAGGTCGTCAGTTTGCATCCCAGTGAGGACACCCGGGATCTTTCTGTGTGGAGTTTGCATGGGTTCTCCCCATGCAGCGTGGGTTCTCTCCGGGTTCTCCGGCTTCCTCACACAGTCCAGAAACATGTTGAGGTTAATTGGTGATTCTAAATTGTCCTTAGGCGTGAGTGTGCTTGGTTGTCTGTCTCTAAGTGTAGCCCTGTGATAGGATAGAAACTTACTAAACAATTACGACTCTAAATAATGCCTTGAATCAAAGTCAGGCCTTCTTTGAGTCTCAAAATAACTGAATCAGAACTCACCGACAAAGGAAGGGACCTGTAATTTCAGCACCTCTACCCATACATTTGAAAACCAATTGTACACTTGAAGACACAAACTGTAGTGACTCATTTCAAACCCACCGCGAGTAAATAACCCAGAAGAGATGCAGGACTACAGAACATCTTGCTTCACGTTGCTTTTTAGACTGTGCCAGCGTATTCTTTGGCTCTTGGTGTTAAAATATCGGTTATTATTTTGTTGTTTTTGCCGTCGTATCGTTCCGTTTTATTGTGCCTGCCTGTCCCTGTGGTCACCAGATGGTCTGCATTGCTGCAAATTCATAAATACAGACGTGTGCACGCTGTGAGACACTGACACGTTATCTTTTGACTGTTCCTCTTCTCAGTAATCTGTATGGAAAGCGCCCTGCAGATTATGCAGCGAGTCTGGAGATGCTGGAGATTTTCCAGGAAGCCTCAGAAGGAACCCAATATGCTAATGCTCATACATCTCATAGCCCTTCAGCCAACCTCTCTGTGGTACGTCTGCATGGACCTGTGAATAACTTTTCTTTTTTCTTTTCAACTTGTTACCCCCAGTGTACTGACATCCCTGCATTAAAAGCCCAGGCATTTCAAAACTGTGCTCTTATGCCCTGTCTTAGGCGAACGAGTGTGTGAGGAGGGATCAAAGCGTGGTGTTTTTGGCCACTAAGCTGTCACTGCCGGAGCAACGTCAACTGGCCAAACTGGGACCGCTACTGGGAGGGAGGATGGCGGATGCCTTTTCTGGCTCAGGTAGGGGTTTTGGGATTCAGAAACCACCTCCTCTAAGGGTTTTGCTGCTTAGAATACGGGCCACATGATTGTTATAGCTGCCCATTGACAATGGACAACTATAGAGTAGTCATGTCTGTTTGTTTTGTTGGGTTTTTGTTTGTCTGTAAACACTCTTGCGCTCTACAGGAGAGGAGTTTGACCCTGAATCTTCATGTATGACCTCGGTATGGTCCCTTCTCAGAGTGATAAGATTTTGGAGTCAATACATGCATTGGTGACGCTACAGAATTTAAAGGTCGCATTTCCCAAAAGCAGCCTTGTTTGACTGAAAATGTACAAAAAGACATAAGTTTAGTAAACTAACTAAGTAAGACATTCGAGGCCTATAAACTGGTGATGTAACATATGGTCTTGAGACACTGGTCACACTGGTCACAACCCATCAAATAGGTTATGGCAAAAAGAGGGGAGACAACACAGGTATTGCCGGATTTAAATGTGAGCTTTTATTAACTTGTTAAATTAATACTTCCAAAGTGAGATGTGCACGTCAGTGATATCAGTAGTGTCGGTGCCGATGCCTGGATGCGATGCGGTGTGAGGTGTTGTCTGATGTAAAGACCAAAATGACACAAACCCAAGTCACAAGCATGAGGAGGAGGGAGCAGGAGCTGAGGGGTTGGCCCTTTTGTAGCCTGGGAGTGCTGGGCCCAGGCGGGCCAAGCAGGTAGGACGCCCACTCAGTCTCTAGCAGTTTGAGGACCTGAGGAAGCAGAGCAGCCAATGTGCCCAACCAACATACTAGGTCGGGCCGTCACACACTGAAGGTCGTAAATCACCACAAATTTTAAATCCATTACAACTTAGAAAAGGTGTACGATAAATACACAGTTTCTTCAATCAGATGGGAGCCCGTATTGGTGATGTGACATCTGACCTTGGATGAAACGCCAAGGTCATACATCTTAGGTGCTTAGCCGTAGGCGTAAATTACCCCAAAACGCTTACCCTCCATGCAAAACATCTGTGTTACGTGGCAGACTAAGCTCTTGTTGCTTTATGGATCATTTTAAGGCAAAATCAAGGCAATTTCATCCTCAAGTAGGCGCACAGTAAAACACAGACTCAGGTCAACATGCATACATTGAGGCAGCTATGTCCCTCTACTGAGGGCTCTCCAGTTTTTTAATGTTATTCACAACTGGCTCTCAGCAACACTACAAATTAACAGCAACTACCAGCCAGTCGCTAGCAGCTTCTTCACTGCCAAACAAATAGGTAATCAAAAGAAGTGTTAGAGGGGTAAAGCTCATGCTCACCCCCGTAGTCATGACGTAGTTTCTTGCCTGCTCCTGATGTTTGTTTAGAGGGTTGCTGTACACTCCTTCCATCACCATAGATGCGTCATTTGTATTTAAAATGGTCCTTTTCCTATAGAGCCAAACCTTTGCTATCGAACGCAGACCCGTTTGTGTTGTAAAAGCCAACAGTAGGTGCGTGAACACGATCACTCACAAAGGTTCAACCTTAACCAACAGATGCTGTCAGAACTGTATACATCACTGTGATACAGCAGCTCCTTCACTGTTGCATAGTAATGGCTACGAGAACGCCAGAGAGTGCAAGTAATTGAAATCATTCCTCATAAAATGTTTGGAGGTACTGTCAGAGTGATGAATACACGCTAATGAAAAACACAAGTGTTTCTCACCAGTCTCCTTCGTCTGGCCAGAGGGGTGAAAGTTGGTGCTTTCAGAGAATATTTTTTTTACGTTTCGAACCGAAGCCGGCAAATCCACCCAAATCCATGGTCAATGCACAGTGTTAGAAGGCTTTGCCCTGGAGATATAATTATGCTAATTTTGCACTTGTCAACTGCGCTCACTTGTTGAATGAACAGGCAATAAGCTTGTATTTAAATTTTAATTAACCTATAATTATGTGTCGCTGTCTTTTTTATAAAATAAGCCGCTGCACGGCCTTTTGTTGTGTTGCCATGGATTGTTTGACAGGTTTGCAGTAAGCATACCTGTTCACCCACTCAGAGTGAGGGACGTGAGCGAATTATTAACACTGTGAGAAATGCACCACACTTTGGGGATGAATCAGGAATTGAAAGCATAAATATTAGTCTTTCTCTGCAGCTGGGTAAGCGCTGGTAAAACAACATCAGAGTATCTACTTCAAGCAGAGTTTTATTGTGTCATCCCTTTTCAAAACTCTGTTATTTAAATGTATAACTTCAAAACAAATTAGTTGTTGAGGTCACATCCTGCACATGTTAATAGCTTTGTCTGATGTAAAGCCTAAGATACAATACAGGAGATATATTTCAAATCCAAACTACAAATTATAAGTTTTCCCCTTCCAAGTAACCCCCCTGGAGTCTAACCCACTTCCCCAGCCTTCTCTTCACACTGCCCAGAAGGATTCTTCCGGGATCTTCCTCAGCTCCGTCATCACAGCCATCTTGATGTCGTCCAGGTCTTCTAAACAGGTCCCCTTGATGACCCCCTTGAGCTTGAGGAAGAGGAAACAATCCCACAGAGCCAGGTGGGGTGAGTAGGGAGGTTGCTCCAGCACGGCGCTGTTCTTCTCAGCCAGGAACTGTCGGATGCTCAGAGCATCATGAGCAGGCGCGTTGTCATGGTGAAGCAGCCACGTCTCGTCCTGCCACAACTCTCGCCTCTTCACTGAACGAAGCAAACAGGATCTCTTTGTAGACCTGCTGGTTGATCGTCTGAAGGGGAAAACTCCTAGTTTGTAGTTTGGGTTTGATATATATCTTCTGTGACACCAGTCATGGAACTTTTCTGAGACACCTCGTCTACATATACCTGCATTTATTATAGTAATGTGGTGCAGTTGTTGTTCTGAATGGCAACTCTGGAAGGTATAGATTGAAAAGCCTGCTGTCATACAAAGAGGGGAGAGGTGATAATAACTGTGCACATTTTCAAACAGTTTCTCTCTAAAGGCATTCCTCGTGTTGCACATGTGAAAAGTGACAGAAATAGATGTGTAAAGAACAAAAAAAAAAAGAGGGGCAAGTTCAAGCCTGGCTACTTTCACACAGCTGGTCAGTCACAGTGTGAGGTGGGAGTGGATGTCAGATTGCTGGTTTTGGAAATAGCTGGACACCGTACCCTCCTCCCACCAGCATAAGAAAGCTGTTAGGGTCTCCCAGACTATTCCGTCACCCGTCAAGCTGTTCTCATGAAGCGTGCTATCCTGTCTTTTTATTCCTAATATCTTGATATCACACATCCCAGACTTTAGACCTCACTTGGGCAGGGAGGATCTCAGTTGCTTTTCTTGTTCTTGGGTCTTTTAATGTCTAAAATATCTCATATTAAAGACCTCAAGTTGGTCAAAACATTACCTCATAGCACCCTAGGAGGACAACGACATGCATTTGTGCACAATGTGTAGCACAATTCTTTTCTGTGTAATTTCTGCGTCTTGTTTCTTCCTTCCTTCCAGTGAGCCATGTCGTGGTGCCAGAAGGACAAATGCCCACCACCTACTCCACCCTCCTGGGTGTTCTCGCTGGCTGCTGGGTTGTCAGATACAGCTGTAAGTACGGAGCGAGCCGTCGTCGTCTGGAACAGCTGCTATTTTTGAATGTCACGTTAAACGCTGCTGTTGGGCTAACTTCCTGCTGCAGCGTCTAAAAATCTCTTGAAGGTTAAAGTGTAATGTATGCTAGATTGTAGAGCTTAGAGTTTAGCATGACAGTAAATACGTTTATGGCACTCAGTTCCTTTAATTCACAGCTTAGATGGCTTTAATACTGTCTTTCATCACTGCAGCCCTGAAATAACACATCTGTGAATAAGATAATTTTAGACTGAATAATATCATGACTGTCAGAAATCTTTATCTGTGATTTTTTTTTTTAAACTCTGAGAAAAAACAAAACAAAAGAGAACAAATTGGTCAATTTTTCATTGTCAATCCAGACCACCTAACATCCCTCCTATTAAAGCCTTAATTCCTACTGTTAGCCTAATTTATTCATAGCCTTAAATGAATAGTTCAGCATTTCAGGAAGTGCGCCGATTGTCCTCGTTGGCAGGCGTTGGATGAGAGGATCAATAACGCTGTCATATTTGGTAAATAGAAAGCCTGCAGCTGGTGAGCTTAGTTCAGCACAATCACTGGAAGCTGTGGAAGCATTAGTGTTTGTGCCATGTGTTCCTCACATTACATGTAAACATTAGTTATTCAATTTGTCATGTGTTTAGTTGCTTTTTACCCAGAATTACATTTTTTTTTATTAAAACCAAGTGGTAGACAGCGACTGTGTGCTGCAAAGGGAAGTTTTCTACTTTCTATACGTCTGTTTTTTACACTTGACTGGGTCGTTCGAGGCCGCTCTAGCCAGACAAACAGTATTTCCATCTGCATTTGGAGTTATGTTCGCTACCGTAGGTGACTCTTGGCTTAGTTTAGGACAAGTATGAAAAATCTACTAGGTAAATATTGGACTCTCTGAAGCACAGCACAGAACAAATGGTTTGTGCTGCACTGGCTGTTTGGAGTCATTTTAAGGATTTTGTGCTTCCTGCTGCATCCCAAAAGAACATTTTACCTGCCACCTTCACGAAACTGCTTTTGCTAATATGCAGTTTGTTACTTTTCCATCCAACTTAATTGGAAATATTAAAACACTTTTGTTAATGTGGTGTTCATCCTGCTACAATAGGGGACATGGGAACGTGTCTGTTTCCTGCTCTGTGATCAAGTCTCACTAAGGCCTTGGTCTTAATTTCTCTTCACTGCCAATCTAGCCTGAGACGTGGACATTTGACCTTCGTACTTCCTCCTCTCGGCAAGCTTTCAAGTGAGATGAGGCTCTGTCTTTGGGATAGGAAATTGTAAATGCTAAGTACCTTTTATTTCATGCAGAGCATGCAGCGTCCTGGGAAACATTAAAAGAATATTTTGCAGCAGGCAATTTTCAGATCAATTGTTTGAGCCTGCTGCTGTGTGTGCACACACCTGCTTACATGTCTGACAGCCAAATCAAGTGGGTGGATGACTCCGGGATGGAATTTGGGAATCAGTGCGCCACAAGGCAATATCACCAACGATGAAAGGATGTTTGATTTTTGCCAAGATGAATACTTAGCAAAAAAAATTTTACTATTCTGAGCCAGTCTCCCTGGCATCCTTGAACCAAGTCAACAAGCAGATATTCAGAAGAAGTCAGCTTCAGGGGAAGTAAAAAGAGACTTGCTGTCAAAGACTTTTCTGGCACCTTGGTGTGCCCTTGGCTGGTGTATTTGTCAGTAGCATCACTTCACTGTGTGTGTGTGTGTGTGTGTGTGTGTGTGTTTAGAGTACAACGCCATGCTCGCTCGTCTCTGTCTCTGCCAGTGAGCCAATTCAACTTTGAATGTGTGCGTTTGTGTCACTGGAAGGTTTTGTGTGTTTGGACCACATTCAGCCCCTCCCCTTCTCGTCTCTCCACGCAGGCTGAGCACTTGACACAGCTTGTCTCCCTCATGACAATCACTGTGGCATCCTATCTGTTTCTGTCCTTGTGTATGTGTGCGAGCACACACCAGCAGCTGAGTTCTCCCTGTCACCTGCCTTTGTATGCCATTGCTGTCAACTAGGCCAAGCTCTGGCTTACCTCTTTATCAGGAATATGTTTTGTTGCATTGCGTTTTCCTTGGAAAAGCAGCTTCCCTGTTTCATCCTGTCTAAAACGGGACCCGTTTTAGCTAACAGCCTTTCTTAAGCTTTCATTTTAAACCAAGAGATGAAGGCTGAAATTAGTCCTGAGCGGTATCAAGGTATTACGATATGTTTTCACTACCTTCACAAATATAGATGATTGTCTTTCCATTTACCTGATATGGAGAAGCTATGTTAGGGTAATGTGTTGTGGTGCACAACAGGTGCCACAAGAGATCAGTTCCTCCTGGTGGATGATGGTGACGACCAGCAGTGGGGACAGTGTTAAAGGTCCAGTTAAAATGCAACCAGGATGGACACAGTTGATCAGTAATACAACCTATTTTTATGCACAGCATTAAAATAAAGGGTCACTCACCAGTATTGTTGTGGCACAGAGCTAAATTTTACTGTTATCAAAGAATCTACTTCATTCATTTTTAGTCTTTTTTTTTTTGTGTGTCTTGTTCGCTCACAATGAAAACCAACCTATCACTCGCAGCGTACTACCAAACTGTACATGTTTATTACATCTTGACGTGTGTCATTCCAGTATTTTAATTGGATTACTTCAGCTTGGGGCCACAATAATCGTGTCCCGCAGTCTGTGTCTATGGAGAGCAGTTTTGGACATNTTGTTGTTGTTGTTGGTGTTGTTGCTGAAGTAGAAGTTAGATTTTATATTTATATCTTTCAACTGGGTCACCAAAGTATCGCTCTCCAAACAAACAGAACATTTTCACCGAGTTAATATTTATCGCACGGCGATTGTATTTCAGCGCATTACATCATAGAGGTGATTCCGTCCTTCTGGACCGGCTCGTATTTTCGTTTTCTTCAATAAATTGTGAAGCTCCTTTTTCCTGTCATTGTTCCAGGCATTCGTCTCTTTGTAATTAAAGATGGGGTGCGCGAGTCGGTGCAGTACGTAGGTGGACAGGTGTAAGACTGATAGCGATTAGTTGTTGGTCAATCAGTTGCTTAATCAGCGTTTCTGGCCTGGAGGCGATGTAGCCGCGGAGCACAATGTCAATAACGAGGGGAGGGAATGTTGGATAATCATTACGATGAGTACAGTAGTTGATCTGGGTCAGTAAGGTCTCTTTTTGCCATCGTTTAATACCCATCATCCTTTGTGCACTTTCTTTCGTTTTATTGTGTTCGCCTCAATTTCATGATGGCTCCCGATTGCAGCATCTTACATTTTCTCCTTTTTACCCTATTGCTTGTCTGCAAGGCAAAAAAAAAAAAACAACAGAGGCAGCGATTGGGACTGTCTGTCAGGACTCCTTGTCCTGGCTTCCCCCCTCTCTCTCACCACGCACAGTCACACACATATACACACCCACACAAGAGGCAGACCAAGACATCTGCCAATGCAATTCCTAATGGAATGACTGGCACTCAGCTCGGGCTTTGGAAGTACAGATTTTGCAGATCTTCTTTGTTCCTCTGTGCGTGCGTGCGTTAGGTTTGAACGGTTCAGCTGCATTTTTTCATTGTTTACACCCGGTTTCTCCGAATCAGCTGCTGCCAGACTTTCTATCGAGCTCAAGTTTGTTTTTTTTTTCTTTTTCTGACTGACTGACTGGGCAGATATCAGAAATGCAGAAGGCAATCTTTAAAAGAGGCGAACTCTGAAGTGAGTACCAATAACACAGTCAACCCTTCCCTGTTATGTCACAACAGGTATAAGCATTTCCTGAGACAGCTACACAAGCTTGCACAGCTGGGTTCCCCCCCGATGGCTGCTGTAAACACAAATATCTGCCGGTGCAGGACGTTTGGACGTTTTAAAAAGAGGCTGGCGAGCTGAATGTTGGTAAACTTGCAGTGAGCTTTTAGCTGTCACGATTTATGTGCATATCAATACAGTATGAAAATGAATTTGCGTTAATGAGATGTGAGAAACAAGACATCCGATATATTTGAATGGGCTGTTGGCTCAGTCATAATGACTGCCTTAAGCCCAAAGCGCCGAATCCATGCAGACGTTAATTAACATCACCTGTGTGCCCTGTACTAACATGCCAATCCATTACAGTGGATCGCTGTAATTACACTAGATACAGAGTCGTCCTACAAATGAGCAGCGACAGGCACCAAATGCTGCTAGTTTGTTTTTACAGCGTCAGCGCCGACTCGTACAATATTGTATGTGTTGCTGCATAAATACGGCGTCTGTAATGGACGTTCTGTTTTGATCCAGGAAGCGGCGAGGAAACGCTGACCTGAGATTTAATTGGTTTTAGCGTAGCTTATCTTCATTAAAGGCACCCTGTGGGGTTTATGACCACATTAGCAATGTGTAATGAGTCTGTCCTGATTCTTGACACTTTGTTCTTCCCGTGCACTCGAGTTAAGACGCATGTGGGCGTCTGGAATTAAATTCTTGCCAAATGGTTTTCACACCGTTCCAGTGAGTTCCAGCAAGTAAACATGGATATAAACAATGCAGGGTTGGAAAAAAAAAAGCAGCTTTGCAAATGTTTAAACACGACGAAAATTCATTTAAGACTGAGTGAAAACAGAAACTTTGCTTGTTTACTAAAACCCCCTCACAGGACACCTTTAAGATAATGTAGCCTTGACAGTTTCCAGACAATAACCGTCTTCTCCTCGTTTCTGCCAGTCTTTGAAATGTACTCCATAATGTCTGCCGTCTGTTTTGCAGTTTCATTGTCTTGTCAAAACAAAGTGCTCCGACGATTTTTTGGCTCTTACACGTTAAACTATCCTTTTTTTTTTAAGGCACAAACTTTGCAAAGAGCATCAAGCAAAGTGTTAGAAGCCCCACTTTACCTTATTTGTGATTGCAATTTGGCATTAAAGGAAGCACCAAGTACTTTAACAGAGTGAAATAGAGGTGCTGGGTGAGTCATATATCACCAAGATAAGCTGTAACACCCAGCTGATCCAAGCATCAGGACAAATCCAGAGTGGATTGTTTAAAGAGGAAATGAAACTAATTAACTTTTTGATTAAAAATGCATTCGGGCCTTACCCGCTGCCTCATCAGTTGCTTGCCATGGGTTTCTGTCATGAGACTTCCTTCCAGACTTACTGCGGAGCTACGTTTCTGTCAGCTGTGGAGTGATCATGAGCTTGGTTTGAATTTCGAATTAAATTACGTACCGCTGGAATGTGTGTAATCAGGTGGGACGTTAACGTAAAAAAATTTAGTTTGCATTTTAAAAAGACCTCGTGCAGCTTTTAAAGATGTGTATCGAGCATTAGACTGACCAGAAGCTGATACTGTTATCAGTGCTGGTGGTGTTTTGTAATGCTAGGGTTAGGAAATAATGATTTTAGAAATACTGAGAATGCTGTAAGGTATAAACGAGTTGTGGCATTTTGTATTTTGTGTTCAGCTCAGTTTTCCTGCCGTGGTTAGATGAATAGTCATGGATGCAGTGCTACAACCACCACCGCCTTCCTCCCACTTGCGCTCGAGCAGAGGCCTGTGGGAGAGCGACTCTACCTCCTGCACAACTTTTTTTTTTTCCCTACATTGTTGAGATATTCTTCTCACATGCTCCTGCTGAAACCGGCTTGTGTGTGCGCATATGTATAAGGTGTCAGGGACATTTTATGTTTGTTTGTATTTGTGTGTATATGGGGCTGGGGGTATGAATCCAAATGAAATATTTTATGGACCAGTGGACCTATTAATTGTCCCCCAGGTGTTATCTTTGCTGACGCCTAATCTTTTAGAGACGACCTGCTGGGCTTGGTTCTTCTTCTTCTTGTCCTTCGTCTCCTCTCTTCCTCCTCCTGTGCCTTTCTTCCATCCTTTCTCCTTCCCTCCTTTCCTCAAGGTGACCTCTTGTTTCTTGTAGTTTCTTGAACGTCCCCATT